GTGGCAGCAAGATCACTTAAAAGCCTAACGCTGTTTGTGATATCGCAGTTCCTTTGTCATCACCAATGACATGAGCAGCAGGCAACAGGACCTGCTTTCACAGGGGACAAGAAGCTGGACAGGAGCCAGCAGTGTGCCCTTGGTGCCAAGAAGGCTACCAGCATCCTGGGCTGCATTGGTAGGAGCGTTGTCAGCAGATCGAGGGAAGTGATTCTTCCCCTCTATTCAGCACTGGGGAGGCCACATCTGGAGTCCTGTGTCCAGCTGTGGGCCTCCCCCAGTACAGAAAGGATGTGGACAAATTGGAGAGAGGGCAATGAAAATGGCTGTGGGGCTGGGGGGCATGACTGGTGAGGAGAGGCTGGGGGAACTGGGCTGATTTATTCTGGAGAAGAGAAGACGGAGGGGGATTGAATAGCAGCCTTCACCTCCCCGCAGGGGGGCTGCAAAGAGGATGGAGCTGGGCTGGTCTCAGTGGGGGCAGATGACAGAAGGAGCAATGGGCTCAAGTTGCAGCAAGGGACATTGAGGTTAGAAATCAGGTAAAACTTTTTTAATAGGAGGGTGTTGAAGCACTGGACTAGGCTCCCCAGAGAGGTGGTGCAGTCTCCATCCTTGCAGGTGTTGAAGCCCCGGGTAGACAAAGCCCTGGCTGGGATGATGTAGTTGGGGCTGGTCCTGCTTGGAGCAGGGGGGTGGACTACATGACTCCTGAGGTCCCTCCACACCCTCATTTTCTATGACTCTGATTCACCTGTGACACTAAATCAGAGCTCAGATTTAACTTTGTTCTTTCAAGATGCCCCTTTGAAAGGGCAGTGATCTGAGATCCGCTGCTCTGTCAAAAGGCTTCCAAGCTCTCAGACCAAAAAATCACAAGAAATGCACTACTTCTCAGGACTGTATCTGCATCCAGACTGGACCCAGAAATCACGCTGTGACCTTGCTGGTGAACTAATCCAGTAACAAACCCAGGGTCCGAGTCCAGATCCTGAGACTGGAATCCCAGACACCCAAGGAGCTTGGGTTTGATGCTGCTGAAAGTTCATCCCAACTTTCCTCTCGCACGAAGATCTGTACTGCTGGATTCCTAGCGACAAAGAGACACGGGGTCTTCCAGGTGAAGGGACACAAACACTGTACTGTCGTGTGAATGAGCCACATTGAAAGAGGGAAGGTATAGCGTTTCCATCCCTACATCTGCTTTGTGATTCCTGGTGTCCCCATCGGGAGCCAGTGTGCTCTGAGAAATAGTTTAAATAGTTTCTCAACAGCATGAACACTGAGCTCTGGAAGAGCGCGGAGCTGACGGGTTCAGCACGAGATTCATGACCTGATATGGGGCCGGGGGGAACCTGGTGCTGAGCACATCACCTCCTCCTGGTGCTGAGATGGAAGAAGCAGCCAAGACCTCAACGGCCGATAAGTGGGACAACTTTCCCTTTCACAGTGGCCGAGGGACAGCGTGTCTCGGTTTCTGCTACGGCCAGGACAAAAGCTTGCAACTAAAAATCCTTTGCGCTGAAGCCTGCCTGCTGCAGCTTGCATTCCCGATTACGGAGAGCTACAAAAATGACTCATTACGGTCTTGTGCTCCACGCCTGTGGGTGGGATGGCATTACCTTGGGGGACGTTGGAGAATTGGACTACGCGCGAGTGGGCAAAAAGCACATGACAAGCATGACCTCTCACATGATCCCCCGGTTTAATCACATGGCTCTGCCTGGATATCCCCTCGACATATGTGGCAGATTAGAGAGACGCGGAGCTATTTGGGCAGGAATGCCCTGGTGGAATGCTAAGGTTTAAATGAGGACATATGCTTCATTAGTTCATTTCCTAATTATGACTCGGGCATTAAGACTCGCAGAATTGCTACAAAAGGCTAAACATTCCCAGCGGTTTCACATGCCTCCTTCTCACTTCCACAATTGGCCCAAAGAGGGAATTCGACACCAGCCTGGCCTGATCCGACTCGCTTGGCACTTCCGCATCCTAAACGCGACGCTTTGTCCTACGCGGGCTTTCGGGGCCAGCGCAGATTATTTTCTGTTCCCATACCAGTCCAGATTTGCTTTGGATCAGCTTTGGATCAGCGGCGACTCCACCACGGTCAGAGACGGGCCGTGGCCCTCTGCACCTCTTCCGAGGCATGCAGCAAACAAAAAGCCAATTTGCATCCTTACGTGAATGAAAGAAATTCAGGTTTCGCTGCAAGTGGCCCCAGCACAAACTCCTCGGTAAGGATGGATTCGGGACCGCACCCCTTAGTTTTGTGCACGTGCTCGTTTGCATAACCGCTTGGAAATTATTTGATGCCTTCAGGTCCTCCAGGTTAAATCTTGCAAAGATTTAAATTCC